GTATCGAGCAAGGGGAAGGAATGCGGGGCAGGATGCTATTCAGCAAAAACAACAGCGCCGGTACAAATTGAGCTTGGAAAATAAACTCGGGGCTGCAGCAGTCACGAGCTGCAGTCCTCCCGATCCCATCTTTTTTGTGTCTGTCTTTTCTCCATCCTCACCCCTTCCTCAGGACCGTTTGACTTTGCCGGCGGGCTCCGGCAATTATTTCTTGAAATGTTTGTTCTACCACAATCTTTTACTTCTCCTTGTATGATTCCACTTATAAGTATGGTATGTAATTATATTCATGTCATCACAATCATATAGATTTGCTAGTATTCTACTCTTCTTGGATGCTCTCTTTTCTGTGGCTTTTTTTAGTTGGAATTTGGCAAATACATTTTGTGTTTTAATTAAGAGAATCATGTGTTTTCCCTTCATTTATTAATGTGCTTTAATACATAGATTGATTTTATTATGTTCAACCATCTTTTCATTTCAATAATAAATGTCACTTGGTCATCAAGTATGATCCTTTTAATATTTTTTCAAATTTAGTTTGCTAATATTTTGCTGATATTTTTCATTTATATTCATAAAGGATATTGGTCTATGGTTTTGTTGTGGTGTCTTTTTCTTTGGTATCTGGATTACATTGACAGCATAAAATGTGTTAGAGATTGTGATAGTTTGGTTTACAAGAAATGTATATTTGGTCATTCTTACATATATTTGGTCTTCACCTATGGTACTTGACTCACAGCTCCCCAAACCCTTGGAATTTCCTGAGCAATAAGAGCAATGGATATATCTTTTATCATAATAATTAGTCTCTTGTCTTCAGTTCCTGAAATTGCTTCAGAGCCATAAAGGTTAAATAAATGCCTTGTTATTCATAACAAAGCCCCTTTCTTCCACAGTTGGATTTATGTTAATCAGGTCACTTTTGGAAAGCACCTAAGAATGGGGAGTTTTTGATTATTTATTCACTCTATTTATTATAGGTCTGCTCAGATTTCTATTTGTTGTTGAGTCATGTTAGGTAATTTGTGTTTTTTTAGAAAATTTTTCATTTTGTCTAGGATACTTAATTTGTTGGTATACAATTGTTTATAATATTCTCTTATAATCACTTTTTTTTTCTGTAAGGCCATTAGTAATGATGCCATTGTAATTAGCTAGTTATTAATAATAGAAAGGGAAATGTGAAAGCCAGAAATTATAGGTATGTCATTTGGGCAGCTTCACCAGGAAGCTGCAATTTCACACTCCTCAGGGAATCATTGGCCCATTCCCTGCAGATTACTAAGGGAAGGGACTGGACAAAGGGAAAGATGGGCACATTCACAGTGAGCCAGGGTGACATAGGGAAAGTACTTGCTTGTCAGTCATAACTGGAAACAGAGATCATTGTCTAGAGAATCAGGGCCATTGCAATCCTGCAAAAATTGGGGGATGCATAATCTCCCAAACAAAGGAATTCTCTCTCAGCTTGTGGCTCTCTTGGCTCTCTGGTTCCTTTGGCTTTGCTCCTGCTTGTGTTCCTTCCATGCAGATCCCACATGCAATGGACTGATGGATTGTAGCAGGAAACACAAACTAAGCTAGCCTGATGCTGGATTGGACTAGGCCCTAATATAGAGCAAAAACTCTGGATACTGGTTTTGATTTTAGCTCTGCTAAAAGCAAAATGGGACTTCTGTAGAGGAACTAAAGGAAGCAGACCCTGGAAACTCTGAGGTTTGATTCCATAGAAATAAATCTTTCTATAATATCTCATCCTCTCATGGGGCCTCTGGAAATTCTTATTCCAGTGGTACCTCAAGAGCCCCACTTCCACTGATAACATTAATATCTTCATTTTAATTTTTTATTTCAGTTTTTGTATCTCCTTTCTTTTTATTTTCTTAATCTAGCTAAACACTTGTCAAACTTGTTGATTTTTTCAAAGATCTAACTTTTGGTTTTGTTGATTCTCTTTACTGCTTTTTTACTCTCTATTTATATGTTTTAATTTTTATTATTTCCTCCACATACCTCTTCTCCATAGCCTCCTCCAACATCAACATCTCACACATCAATATGTTTGGTATGGTCAATGAACCAACATTAGTACATTATTATTAACCTAAGCCCATCATTTATGTTAGAGTTAAGACTTTCTGTTGTATAGTCTATGGGTTTTGACAAACGTAAAATAAGATGTATCCATTATCACAGTATCATACAGAGTAAATTTACTGCCCTAAAAATCCCCAGTGTTCTTCTAATTCATTTTTCACTCTTGCTCTCCCACATCCCTGGCAACCACTAATATTTTTACTGTCTCCATAGTTTTTTCTTTTCCAAAAAGTTTTTGTTGTTGTTTCTTGTTTACTTTATTACTGCTTTTTTGGTTTTTATTTAATTTTTTTATAATATGCTATATTGATTTCCTTCTCATTTCCTTACATGTATATTTTTAAGGTAATTTCTTAGTAGTGGTTGCAATTGTGATTACAACTGACATTCTAAATTTATAACAATCTAGTTTGGATTGATGTCAAGTTAACATCAATAGCACACAAAACTTGTTTTAGTATGATTCCATCTTCTTCTCTCATACAGAGTTTATGTTGTTTTGTCACAAATACCTATACATTAACATCAATTTATAATTATTGTTTTATACATTTGTATTTTAAATAATACAGGAAATTAAAAGCTTTACAAACTAAAAATAGAATAATATTGACTTTTATATTTGTCTATGTTTTTACCTTTACCAGAGTCTTTTATTTCTTCTTGAGGCTTTGAATTGCTGTCTAATGTCTGAAGTACTCTTTTTAGCATTTCATATGAAACAAGTATACACAAGTAACAAACTCACTAAACTTTTGTTTATTTGGGAACATCGTGATTTCTCATTTGTTTTTGAAGGATAGTTTTGTGGGACATAGAATTCTTGGTTGAGAGATTGCTTTTCTTTCATTGCTTTAAAAATGCCATCCCATTCCTTTCTGGTTTTCATGGTTTCTGATGACAAATTGGTCCTTAATTTTGAGGATCCCTTATACATGACAATCACTCCTCTCTTGCTGCTTTTAAGATTCTCTAAGGCTTTTGATATTTTGATTACAATGTGTCTTGGTTGAACATCTGAATTTATTCTTTTTGGAGTTTGTTGAGCTTCTTAGATGTATAGATTTATTTCTTTAATCAAATTTAATTATAATCAAACACTTGATGGTGTTTCACAGTTCCCTTAGACTCTATTTGTTTTTCTCTATTCTTTTTTCTTTCACTTCATCATACTTGATGATTCCAATTGACTTATCTTCCAGTTCTTTAATACTTTTTTTTAGTTGTTCAAATCTACAATTTAAACTTTCCAGTGAGTTTTTCACTTCAGTAATTGTATTTTTCAGATGCAGAATTTATTTTTGGTTCCTTTTTGTAATATCTATATCTTTATTGATAATCTCTGATCACACACCAGTCTCTTGGTTTTCTTTAACTTCCTGATCATGATTTTATTTAACTATTTAAACATTTCTTTAAAATGACTTTTAGAGAGAGGAAGGTAAAGGGAGAGAGAGAAACATTTATGTAAGAACAATACATTGATCAGCCACCTCCTGCACCACCCCTACCTGGATTGAACCTACAACCTGAACTGACAACCTTTTCAGTGCACGGGATGATGCCCAACCAACTGAGCCACACAGGCCAGGGCTCTATTTGAGCATATTTAAGACGGTGGTTTAAAGTGTTTTTCTAGTAAGTTCAATGCTTCCTCAGAGACTGTTTTTAACTTGTTCAGAGCCATATTTATTTTTCTTTGCATGCTCTAAAATTTTTTGTTGAAAACTGGACACTTTGAATATTATAATGTAGTAATTATAAAAATCAGATTCCTTCCTCTTTAAAGTTTGTTTTTGTTGCTTGCTGTGGGCTGTAGTTGTTGGTTTGTTTAGTGATTTTTCTAAACTATTTCTGTTGTCTCTATTTTTTATGTGTTTTCTTTGAAATGTCTTTTCCTTTAGCTTGTGTTAAGTTACTGTTTTGACAGAGATTTCTTTGAACACACACACACACAGAAAGAGAGAGAGAAAGAACAATACTTCTGTCAGATTATTTCAGATTGGCTCTATGAAAGGACATCCCTTCAGTGCTTACCCAAGCCACTTAAAACTCAGCTTTAGTTTTTACTTCCCATTTGTGCTGCACCTAGAGATTAACAGAGCTAGAAGCTTAGGGTATTCTCAGGTCTTTTTTGAGAATGCATCCTGCCCTGAGCATGCACATAGTTTTCAAAATGTATCGGTATACATAGGCATTTTTGAATGTCTTAATTTCCCAAAAAAAAATTGTTCCTGTAACTTTTCCAATTTTTGCACTTTTTTAATGAATTTGAACTTATTTCAAAACAAAATTTAATATAAAATATTATAGATTTGAGGTCAAAGAGTTCTAGGTTCAAACCCAAGCTCTGTCGCTTGCTGTGTGATCTTGTGCAAGTTATTTTCATTGAGTTTCAGTGTTCTCATCTGTAAAATGAAGATTATAATACCTACTTTGCTAAATTATAAGGTTATTGTTTCTGTCTTGAATTATGAATTTTAAGAGTAACATTTGCTTTGCACATAGTTGGTGTTTAATAAATGGTAACTGTTATTACTGTCATTAATTATACTGTGATTATGTTCAGTGAAAAGCTAGCCTGGTGCTAGAGTTGCACAAATGGCAAAATTGGTGATAACTTAAAAATATAATAATTCTGAATACCACTTTTTAAATCATGCCAGGTAATAAAAAAAGCACTATAATTGCTTTGGATATGAGCATTTTTAAGAGCTGGAATGAAGGCAAACTAGGCAGATAGTTTTAGAGATGCAATTTTAACATATTCCTGGTAAATTTCTACTGTAACAAGAAAGATCTCTTTAATACTATGCACACTAGCTTAAGTTAAGAAACTTAAAGCAAAAATAATTGATAATACAACAAAAACATGCCATTAAAAAGATCTAACATACCTTAAGATTAAGTGCATTTCTTCCATATATTTGACAGTTTACTACAGCCAGGTTGGTCATGGCTGCTATTGTTTCATATTTTGTTGCAACAGTCTTAAAACCTTCACCATGCATAACTTTTGCCTCTGAATCATCTTTTCTAGATTTAATACCTAAATAAACAAAAGAATACATGAAACAAATGTGTCATCACTTAGAGTGAAATTTGAAAGAACTTACATTGGTGAATGGAGAGAAGATGAAATCAAAAGAAGTAAGACTATTATATATATGAATATTTCTTTTGCATAAACTTAATGTTAACCACACACACAAAAAAATTTAGAGCTGAAACACCAAACATAACAAAAAAGGAAATGGAGGAAAACATCATAGAAGACCACCAAACTAAAACAGAAATAAACCCAATGGAAAAGAAATAATGGAGACACAGCAATACCAGAAAATAAAGATAAAATGAAGTCCTCATATATCAGTAATCACCCTCAGTGGACTGAATTCACCAATTAAAAGGCACAGAGTAGTGAACTGAATAGAAAACAAAACCAAGCTAAAATGCTGACTTCATGAAACACATCTCAGCTACAAAGACAAACATAGAACAAAGTGAAAGGATGGAAAATGTTACTCCAATAAAATGGCATCCAGGGAAAAGCAGGTATAGCCATACTTATATCTGACAAAATTTATTTCCAGATAAAAATGTAATAAGAGACAATGATGGACATTTTGTAATGATAAAGGGGACAATAGGTCAAGAAGAAATAACACTTCTCAATATATATGCAACCAACTTGGGAGCACTAAAATATAAAAAGCAACCACTAACAGAAATAAAAGAAGAAACTAACAAAAATACAATTATTCCAGGGGACCTAAATACCCCATTTACAGCTATCCATAGACTATCCAAACAGAAAATCAATAAGGAAATATTGGTCTTAAATAACACATTAGACCTAATGGACATAATTGATATTACAGAGATCTTCCTCCCAGAACACCAGAAAATACATTTTTTTCTAGTGCACATGGGGCATTCTCAAGGATAGACTATATGTTGGGACACAAAGCCAGCCTCAACAAATTTAAGAAGATTGAAATCATAACAAGCATATATTCTGACCACAATGCTTTGAAATTGGAAATCAACTGCAAAAGGAAAGTGGAAAAAACATAAATATGTGGAGATCAAACAACATGCTACCAAATAATGACTGGGTCAAAGAAGAAATAAAAGAAGAGATTTAAAAGATTCATAAAGACAAATAAGAATGATAATATGACATATCAAAATTTTGGGGATAGAGCAAAAGCAATAATAAAAGGGATGTTTATATCATTATAGCTTATCTCAAAAAACAAGAAAAATATTAAATAAATAATCTGTGGAAAGCAGTATGGAATCACTTCAAAAAATAAAAAATGGAACTGCCTTATGATCCAGCTATTCCACTTCTGGGAATTTATCCAAAGAAACCTGAAACACTAATTCAGATGAATATATGCATCCTGATGTTCATTGCAACATTATTTGGAAGTAGCTCAAGTGTCCATCAGTAAGTGAGTAGATCACACAATGGAATACTACTCAGTTATAAAAAGAAATAAGTTTTACCATTTGAGACAGCATGGAGAGACCTGGAGGACATTATGCTAAGTGAAATAAGCCAGTCAGAAAAAGACAAGCACCATATGATTTCACTCATATGTAGAATTTAATGAACAAACTGGACTAACAAGTGAAATAGAGACAAACTCATATATATAAAGAACTCTGGTCTTAAGGGAGGCAGGGCAGTGGGGGAGATGGAGGAATTGAGCAAAATAGAAGAAAAAGAGAAAGAGTTCATGGACATGAACAACAGTGTTGTGACTGTGGGAGGTAGAGGTGGAAGAGGGTATGGGAGGATAAATGGTGATGGAAAAATGAAATAAAATAAAGTAAACAAGTAGAAAAATTTTAAATAAATAACCTAAAATTTTACCTTAAAGAACTAGAAAAAGATCACACAAAGTCCAAAGTCAGTAGAAGGAAGGAAATAATAAAAATTAGAGCATAATTAAATGACATAGCAAACAAAAAGACAATAGAAAAATTAATGGAACAAATAGTTCTTTGTACAGATTAATAAAATGACAAACCTATGGCAACACTCACTAAAGACAAAAGAGAAGACTCAAACAAAATCATAAATGAAAGAGAAGTTACAATGGACCCCATAGAAATACAAAGAACTATACAAGAATACTATGAAAGTCTATATGCCACCAAATTTAATACCTTAAAGAGATGGACAAGTTCTTAGAAATATATAACCTTCCTAGACTGAATCATGAAGAACTGGTAAAACTAAATAGACCAATTGACACTAAGAAAATTGAAACAGTAATTCAAAAAACCTCCAAACAGCCCAGCTCAGCAGTTGAGTGTTGATCTAGGATCCAGGAGATTGCAGTTCAATTCCTGGTCAGGGCACATGCCAGGGTTGTGGGCTCTATCCCCAGGCAGGGTGGAGGGAGGTGCAGAAAGCAGCTGATCAATGACAGCTCTCTTATAATTGATGTTTCTATCTCTCTTTCTCCCTTCCTCTCTCTGAAATCAATAAAGTTACATATATTTTTAAAAAACAAAAAACAAATCTCCAAACAAGTAAAAGTCCAGGACCAGATGACTTCACCAGTAAATTCTCCCAAACATTCAAAGATTTGATTCCTATTCTTCTCAAACTCTTCCAAAAAATCAAAATGAAGCAATACTTTCCAACTTATTTTATGAGGCCAACATTATCTTGATACCAAAACCTGACAAGGACAACACACAAAAAGGAAAATTACAGACCAATATCTCTGATAAATATAGATATAATAATCCTAAACAAAATATAGAAAATCAAATACAATACACTAAAAAGATAGTATATCATGGTGAAATGGTGTTATTTCCAGGGAAACAAGGATGGTTAAACATATGCAAATCAATCAATGTGATACACCACATTAACAAAATAAAGGATAAAAATCATATGAGCATCCCAATACATGCAAAAAAAAAAAAACAACCCCAAACCAACACTTGACAGGATACAACTTCCATTATGATTAAAATGCTCAATAGAGTGGGAATAGAAGGAATGTACCTCAACATAATATAGGCCATATTTGACAAACCCTCAACAAATATCACATTCAATAGTGGAAAACTGAAAGCTTTTTCTCTAAGATAAGGAACAAGACAAGGATGCCCATCCACTCTTACTACTGTTTTTCAACATAGTGCTGGAAGTCCTAGCCAGCAATCAAACAAGAGAAAGAAATAAAAGATATACAAATTGGGAGGAAGAAGTAAAAGTGCCACTTTTTGTAGATGACATGATTCTTTATATAGAAACCCCTTATGACTCCACCAAAAGCTATTAGAAACAATAAACAAATACAGTAAAGTTACAAGATACAAAATCAATGTACAAAAAGCCATTGTGTTCCTATATAGTAACAATGAAATTTCCAAAAAGGAAAAAAAAAAAATCCCTTTGCAATTGCAACAAAAAGGTTAAAACACCAAGCAATAACATGGCCAGGCATGGCTCAGCAGTTGTGCATCACCTAGGACCCAGGAGATCTCAGTTTTATTTTCAGTCAGGGCACATGTCCAAGCTGTGGGCTGAATCCCCAGTTGGGGGAGTGCAGGAGGGAGCTGATCAATGACTTTCTTATCACTGATTTTTCAACTCTCTCTCTCTTCCTCTCTCTGAAATCAATGAAGATATATTTTTAAAAAACAACCTACCAACAAATTTACCAAAGGATGTGAAAGACCTATACACTGAAAACTCCAAGCCACTGTTGAAAGGAAGTGAAGAAGATACAAAGAAATAGAAAGATATTTGAGTGCATGGATTGGAAGAATCAACATAGTAATAATGGCCATATTACCTAAAGCAATAGAGAGATTTAATGCAACCCCCATGAAAATCACATTGGCATTTCTCAAAGAAATAGAATAAAAAATCACCAAATTTCAATGGAACCACAAAAGACCTTGCATAGCCAAAGCAATCATGAGAAAAAAGACAAAAGATGGAATTATCACACTCCCTAACTTCAAATTATACAACAAATTTACAATAATCAAAACATTATGGTATTGACAGAAACACAGACACATGGACCAACTGAAAAGAACTGAGAACCCAGAAATAAACCCACATGTATATGGACTACTAATTATTGACAAAAGAAAAAAGCCAAAACATACAATGGAAAAACAAAAGTTATTCAATAAATGGTGCTGAGAAAATTGGAAAGTCGCATGCAAAAGCATAAAACTAGACTGCTATTTGACCCCATACACAAAAAATAATTCAAAATGGAGCAAAGACCTAAATATAAGGCCTGAAACAATTATATACATAGAAAACATAGGTGCTCAATTTACAAAACTTGGTCTCAAAGAGGGTTTTATAAGTATGGCCCCCAAAGCAAGGGAAGTAAAAATAAATGAATGGGACTATATCAAATTAAAAAGCTTCTGCATAGGAAAAAAAAAAGCAACCCATAAACAACAAGAAAAAATAATCAACAAAATAAAAGGCAACCAACGGAGATTCTAAGATGGTGGTGAATTGAGTGGAAGCTACACTGACACTCTCCCAGGACAAAACTGGAATTACAACTGAAACATAGAAAAACATCCTGATTAGTCAACAGCAACTGAAAACTAGCTGGAGAGCACTCTCATAACCAAAGAGGAAAAGTGGAGACCACATAGAGACTGGTAGGAATTGCAAAGGCCCTAGAGCACTGGTTGGGCTCCCACAGGAAGCAGCTGAAGGCCTGAAAGGATATCTCAACTGTTGGGAGTTCCCACTGACAACTCTGGGGTATAACCCCCAAGCTGGGCTTCCCATTCAAGAACACTAGAACTGAGAAACATGCCCACATAACATCTGGCTGTGAAAAGCAGCAGAGTTTACGTCTGCCAGGGAGAGACAGCTGGAAGTGCAGGCAACCTCTTAAAGGGCAAATGTACAAAGTTTTATGTGCAGCCACTCACCTTGGGCTCAAGCAGAGAGAGGGCAGTGTGAACTAGAGCTGTGTGAGGAGAGTCCAGGATTGCTGGCTTTGGGGAGTAGAGCTCAGAGGGCAGGCA